CACCACAGCCTCATAATGAAACTTTACTCACCAGCAATGGCATCCTTAGAGGTAGATAAAGGGGGCGTAAGAAGCAGGAAGGGACAGATGGGGAGAGAAAGATAGATGCATGAAATGCTCAAGGTTCCCTTCCTCTTCACGGGGTCCTTCATCAGGAGTTTGTGACCAGTAGCTGCTGCAGGTGCACGGACCCGCCATCAAGACAATAAACCAGCTAGTATAGATTTAGTATGTGACTCAACTACGTTGTGTTTTGAAACAGAACAAATGTCCAACACTGAAAAATAGAAGCTGTTTAAAATGGCAGACCGGTCAATGCCGTTGTGAAAAAAGAGTGAATTATTAAAATCTTTTTATACAGAATAATTCTCGTAGAGGAAGACATTTTAATTCTAAGAGAGACTTGTTCAGTGTGTAGCTAAATAGTAAATTCTACCGTTCTTTATAGCAGCGGTCGCCAATTCCAGTCCTTGATGGCCGTAATGGTGTGTCGGAGCAGGAAAACATCAAAAACATTCAGGATTAAAACTGGATTTGGTGACTACAGCTTTAAATGGTTGTTCACTGAGAAACGGCGGAATTATTATTTATTTTTTAAATATGATGGGTCACTCTGAGCTGCATGCTAATTCTAAATGTTAGAATAGTCGTCGGAGTAGTCCTTTTGCTTGCATCAGCTGCAGGAAGGGAGTCGATGAGATTTACGCCACAAGAAAGCCTGTTTTTGTGACCCCGCCCACCTTGACTTGCAACCAAGGAAGGGTGCTCTGATTTAGCAGTCAGGAGAGAGCAGAGCGTGTCTCAGCTAGTAAGAGCTAACCATTAGCGATAGCAACTCCACAACATAGTGGAACACATTTGGGCTTGTGCTATTTGTGGAGATTAAACATCAACGTTCCATTTTTTACTCAAGAAAGAAGAGAAAAGAAAAGAGGTAGCGGAAAAATCGCGCTCTCGTAGCCAATCAGAGGAGAGACGTTTGCATGTCATGAATATTAATGAGCAAGACTCACTTTACCTACTTTGGAGTAATCAGTAAGTAAGGGGAGACGGTGGCACAGGAGTCAAGTGCTGCCCCGTAATCGGAAGGTTGCAGGTTCCAGCCCCGTTAAGTCTGTCACTGTCGTTGTGTCCTTGGGCAAGGCACTTAACCCACCTTGCCTGCTGGTGGTGGTCGGAGGGACCGGTGGAGCCAGTGTACGGCAGACTCGCCTCTGTCAGTGCGCCCAGGGCAGCTGTGGCTACAATGTAGCTCATCACATCCAGTGTGTGAATGTGTGTGTGAATGGGTGAACTGCTTGTGTTGTAACGCGCCTTGGGGGGTTCCAGGACTGAAGAAGGGGCTATATCAAATGTAGGCCATTTACCATTTATGATATAATCCAAGTATCTTATACTTTACGGAAGAGGATTAGGGCCATAATTTTGACTCTAAAGTAAGACTAGACAGTTTCATGCTTCTCTGCCCTACTGGTTGAAAGTGGAATTACAACATGATGAACCAACCTGCTGTAGCTAGTGTTAAGAACTAGCTAAAACTAACATAAGCCAACTAATATTAAAATAAACCACAAGGTAAAAAGATACACACTGTTGGCCAAAATTATTGTTGCAAGTCCAGTGGCAACAAAGCCAGGTCACTATCAGTCTGAGATTTTGTAGCCTACTTTAGCTCATTCATACTAGCTTAATCAGTTCTGATGTTTACTCCGGTTTTAGCTCTTTGCTTCACCTCCAAAGTCATTACTCTTAATTTTACTTCCAGGCTCCATTATGATGCTAACAGAAAACGTGAACTTCTTCTTTTTGTGCTTTTTATTGGCAATCGGCAAACTGAAAATGCTTACTGCTAGCATTAGAGCTAACTGCCCTCGGACACCTACTGGCTCCCCAGAAGTGTGATTTTTTTAGCGCAGTAGAGCGCTGCAGAGTGGTGTCACATATGAAACCGGTCATGTCTCTAACTCAACAATCACAGAGACGACCTTTAAGGCTCCAGCTTAAAGTAAAAAACATATCGATCGTTGCTTTTTTCCTTTCTTTTTTCTCTCTTCAGTGGCCCTAATCCTCTTACATATATGCTTTGTTCCAAGACCGTACTCAAATTTCATTCAGGCCACTTGGGAGAGTGGTCATCAGAAAATCCAACGATATCAACGAAGATGGCAGATGCGTGTTACAGTTCCCAACCACAGCCTGGGCTTGTCCCTGTTAAGCTGTTACTCCACATGAGATCCAGCCGCTCCTCTTGACTGCTGATCTTATGGGAGTGGGAGCAGAATGTGATTAACTGAAAGCTGAAGTTTTACAGCACACATTCACTCGTCTTCACGACCAGCGTACATAATTGGCGTATAACTAAAATCACTGTTTCTTTTCTCCACGCGGTCCCAGACGTTGCTGCCATCAACCCCACAGATTACAGTGATGCATTAAACATAAGAACTGTTAACCAATCAGACTCTCCTCGGTCATCAGCCTCTCTGGAGTCTACTGCTGACACTTCCTGTGTCCCATTTAACACCTGCACTGTCACTGTTCTGTTTAAACACATACTGGAGTCACTGGGTGGTCACCTACCGCTCTCAGACATGATGATAATAAACAGGCACATGTTGGTTTTCTAGAGGCTCGTGTGTTGGTAAACATCCAGATGTCTTTACTCACATCATCCCAAGAGTCTGGTTAGAATTAGAGAGCCGACTGTCCCTACATCCTATAAATGATGTAATAAATACTAAATAAATGCATGATTCTTTGGTTGAGCTACAATTAAACTGACTGAATTCAGATTTTGATCTGTTTATAACAACATGAGCATTTCTGAACAAGTCTTTTAAACGACACCATTTTTATTCTACCGTCTCCCAGGAACAGCAGCAGAGATACAGCCAACTTTACGACTTGTCACGGTCCGAAAGATCCAAAGTTTGTGAGATAGCTGTCACCATGGCAACCGACGGACAACCTCTGTCGCAGATTAAAGAGCTCCTGCACGTGGCTGTGGGACTCGTCGACCTGTCTGTCAAAAGCGTGCTGCAGGAGGCGGTGAAGAGAGTGGTGGCCGCGCTCAGGTAGTCTCACACCCCCACTCCTCCATTTCTCCTCCAGTTCTCCTGAACAGAAACAGCAACAGTTATTTTACATGCACACCAATTTCTATCATTTAAGATTTCCTGCTGCTGTAATGTCTTCAGACCCTCTGCCAGGTGCCATTCGGTCTGCTGTTGAATAACTTTCTGCACACTCGACTAGGACTGAACAATAATAATAATAATAATAATACATTTTATTTAAAAGCGCCTTTCAGGACTCCCAAGGTCACTTTACACAAAACACATAATAAAATACAATAAAACAACAATAAAACCCAAAGAAGAAAAAACAAAGAAAGAAACAGTTCAATAAAATCAGGTCGTAGGCAGATTTAAACATGTGTGTTTTGAGTTTTGATTGGAAAAGGGTAAAACTGTCGACGTTCCTGATGTCTGGGGGAAGTGAGTTCCAGAGACGGGGAGCTGAGCGGCTGAAAGCTCTGCTCCCCATGGTAGTGAGACGGGCAGAAGGAACCGCAAGATGGATGGAAGAAGAAGATCTGAGTGAACGGGACGGGGTGTGAATACTTATAAGGTCTGAGATATATGGAGGAGAGAGGTTGTGGATAGCTTTGAAGGTATGGAGGAGAATTTTGAAGATGGACCTGAATTTAACTGGGAGCCAGTGAAGCTGCTGGAGAACCGGGGTGATGTGGTGAAAGGAAGGGGTTCTGGTGATAATACGGGCTGCTGAATTCTGGATCCAATAATACGAGTCCTGGTTGTGCACTAAAGCTGTGAATTGTGAAAAATAAAACTCGTCTTGCTGAGGAAAATGTTGTTTTATCTATTTTCTTTCTACTTATTAAAAGGTGGAATGAAGAGAGTTCTTCTAGCTTTGTTTTCTTTTATTAACTCAGAGGTAAATCAGTCTGCTCCCTTAAAACTCGGCACTTAGGTTCATGTCCTCATGCTTTCTGCAAGAACGGGCTGGATTTTAATCTGTAGACATTTGTGTGAAACCTTGCTAAAACCAGGGTTGGAATTACGGGGCAGCTAAGGGGAGCCAGGCTCCCCTGGAAGCCCTCAACGTACGTCGAGGGGGAGCCTGACAAAACATTGCTTGTTTCTGCCTGCATTACTTTCTCATTTCTAAGAGGCCTAGTGGTAGAGGTCCACCCTGGGACTGGGAGATGAGGGTTCAAATCCCGGTCGGGTCATACCAGAGACTTTATAGGTTGGATCCAGCGCCTCTCTGCTTGACACTCAGCTTTAAGGGGTTGGATTGGGGGGGGGGGGTTAAACCACCAAATAGTTCCCGAGCGCAGCCGCTGCTGCAGCTCCCCGCTCCCCCAGGGGTGGGTCAAATACGGAACTGAGTTTCACCGGTGTGTCTGACTAATGGGGCGTTAACATATATGGACCCTGAAGGTACCAGGACTTCTTCACCCGGGATGGTTTCAGGGCATTTGGGGGTCCAAGGCGAAACAGCGGCGCCCCCGAAGGGAACTTCGTATCCTGGCTAACGCGCTTGTAAAAGTGTTACGAAGAGGAATTATTTTTGCACTGTAGTAATAACCACGTGTGTCACGCGTGTACACGTAAAGCCTTCACCTGCTGAGCTAGCAGCGCTCTTTAAAGCAGTAAAGTTAGCTTTTCTTAACAGAATCAGTTGAGATGTTAAACTGGAGAGATGCGGAGCTCCAGGAACCTGATGGCGCTCAGATCATCCGACAGCTCACCGGGACGGTGAGGGACAGACACCATGAGGAGCGGCTTATCCAGAAACTTCCATCACAATAAAGAGCAAGCTGTGTTCAAGTTAAAGGGAGTGTGACAGCGCTGAGACTGCCCCATACCCCCGCTTACTGCCACCGCGTAATCTTTAATAAAAACAGCACGACTGCGCCGCGTTACCGCCACGGTGTGACCACCGATGAACGGCCCAAGGCTCCCAGCTGGGGGGCAATGGCAGCGTTGTTTTCTGCAGAGGCTGTTGATACTGAAGTGAACATGACTCCAAGCGGACTCCTAATCAAATCACAAGTGTGCTTGTGAGTTGTTCCTGAATTGCCTGACATCCTGGTGGTGACAGAAGGACATGTTGGCGAGTGCAGTCAGAAACGTGGACGTCTTCTTAGTTTGAATGTGAGCTCAATGAACAGAGAAGAGTTTGGCAGCGAGAACAAAATAATTTAACATAATTGTTTCCTAAGTTTAGCATTTTTAATTGAAATGTTATAAAAACTGACCAAAATATGTATGTACTTATTACCACGAGGTCTTTCCGTCACAAACGGTCACAGACGCTGTTCTTACAGATCTCTTAGGTCTTTCTCCATCCCTGCCAACAACATCATCATCCACATGTACCATGTTCACACCTGCCTTGTCACATTACACCATTCTGTATGCAAAAAGGTGTGTTTGGTTGGAGCTACACGCAGCTGAGTAGCAGGCCCACGATCCGGCCTCCCACAGCCTGCTTCCTGCTGCTGGTTATCAGCAGTTAGACGGCATATCGGTCCCGTCTGGGCTCAGGATGTGGATGGGCAGAACCCGGTGCAGGCATGAAGAAGTGCCTGGAGTGTTGAACTGAAAGTACAGAAGCTGCTTGTGGGAGTTGGGCTCCCGGTGTTCAGAAGGAAGGGAGAGATGATTCGTGCCTGTAGAGCCGCTGGCTTTCAAAGCCACAGCAAGTACGTGGATGTTGTATGACTCAGCATGCGGTCATTACTGTGGTTAGTTTACAAACACACAGAAATAAACTCATTCTGGCTGGTTGCTATGGCGTCGGCGTCGTCCTGTTGCCCTGAGATGCCCGTCTGCTTTAACGGCGAGTCGGGTTTTACTGACCCAGCCAGATACCATCGGGCCGTCTGATTGGCTTGACAGATGAGCACCAATCACCTTGATTATGTTCCTGCCTCATTTCCTGTTCTTTTTAGGCTGCTCAGTGGTGCAGATTAGTGGCACCTGCATCTACACACCAGCGAACCGTGCCGTGCACGTGCATAGACTCCCTGTTATTGGTACGCATGCAGGTGCTCGAGCACTCTTCATAATGAACACACACCCTCTCTCGCACGTCCTTCTCTTTTCTCTGATTCCTGATCTTCCTGTAATTAATGCAGCCCGATACAGCGGTTCCCCACCAGAACGCATTCGGTCCGTGTGTGTGTGTGTGTGTGTGTGTGTGTGTGTGTGTGTGTGTGTCTGTGTGTGTGTGTGTGTGTGTGTGTGTGTGTGTGTGTGTGTGTGTGTTGTGCTTTATGGGCGCATAAATGCTCACTGGTCTTTTTTCATGTTGCCCCTAAAAGTTTTCTGTCTCACACACACCTCTCTTGGTGGTGTGTGCAGGAGTGTGTGTGTGTGTGTGTGTGTGTGTGTGTGTGTGTGTGTGTGTGTGTGTGTGTGTGTGTGTGTGTGTGTGTGTGTGTGTGTGCGTGTGCCTCTCTTGGTGGTGTGTGCAGGAGTGTGTGTGTGTGTGTGTGCCTCTCTTGGTGGTGTGTGCAGGAGTGTGTGTGTGTGTGTGTGTGTGTGTGTGTGTGTGTGTGTGTGCCTCTCTTGGTGGTGGTGCAGGAGTGTGTGTGTGTGTGTGTGTGTGCCTCTCTTGGTGGTGTGTGCAGGAGTGTGTGTGTGTGTGTGTGTGTGTGTGTGTGTGTGTGTGTGTGTGTGTGTGTGTGTGCGCCTCTCTTGGTGGTGTGTGCAGGAGTGTGTGTGTGTGTGTGTGTGTGTGTGTGTGCCTCTCTTGGTGGTGTGTGCAGGAGTGTGTGTGTGTGTGTGTGTGTGTGTGTGTGTGTGTGTGTGTGTGTGTGTGTGTGTGTGTGTGTGCCTCTCTTGGTGGTGGTGCAGGAGTGTGTCCGCTGTTGCAGGGCTTTCTCGAGGCGTCGTGTTGGGCAGGTACGGAGGAGGCCCTCTTGTTCTGGTGCGGTGCAGCAAGCGCACCTCATACCTCACACTAATGGCCATCTTTTGTATCTGTCATAACCGCTCCGCGTTTGTGTGTTTTATTTTTTTCCTGAGGAGAAAGTCTAAATGGTGAAATGCAGCAGAGGGAATGCTGAGTCATCCTTCTGCATTTGGGAAAGTCATTCGTGTGCAGATGTGCTGAGCATGTAGCCGCAGTCCCGGCAGCAAGGCAGGGCTGAGTCGGGGGAAGTCACGGGTTATGTGTTTGTTCACTTTTCTGTGAGGAATAGTTCTGTAGAGGATCAGACGGGAGCAGCAACAGGAACCACGGCCGCTTAAAGAAAATGAAAACACACACTAGTTCCTCTAAATCCAGATCTCTCATCAACTTTAAATGATTCTTTAATCCTATGAATGAAATGGTGCTCTCAAAGCCTCTGAGGTTTATTACTTTAGAGAGATTTTTGTTGCATGTTGTCTGCAGGACTTCAGATATGATCATGACTGTTAGTTTTGTACAAAGCAGCAAACATGTCACCGCTGGCAGACACGC